AACACCAAGTCTACTCGTATCAAAAGTCGCAACGGTGAATGTGGACAGAGGCCTTCCGAGAAACAGTGTTACCGCTCTTGCTTGCCTGACGTAATTGGTGCCAAGGATGCAGACGCCTGCTTGAGCACGAAGGGAAACACCTCCGGTCTGATGCACGTGACCTGCAACGCGCTGCTTGGCAAGAATGGTTGGTTGGGATGTCAATTAGCTTTTCCATCTCATAAGGCTGTTGGGTTCAGAGCCCGACTTGAGTCTCAGGTACGGGGTCAAGGTCTTGTCTAGGACAAAGAGCCAGACCCGAACAGTTGTGCCCTCATGTATCCGCAGCACAAGCCCACCCTATTCGTACAATAAGATTTTGGCCAACGGCCCACAATGTTTTGCTCACTCCTTCGAGCGAGTGTAAATCAGATTGTGATACTGGCATTAAGATCGCATGGTTACAAGATCCATTTATAGCACCAGAGAATCCCGACGCAAAATGAAAGTGAGAAAATTCCTTCAATCCCAACTTGCAGCATGGGCAAAAAGCACATGCTTTGGCTGATTACCTGTCCGAGAGGCTAGGCCTCAGCCTAGACATAAAGGCCATGATAGGCGACAGATCTTTGGGAGAAACCTGGACATCCCTGCAACAGCTTCCTGTTTCTGAAGTCAATGAACCTGTTCATAGGTCTGAAAATTGAAGCAAAGCTCCACACCCAGACGTGGCTACTACAGAACTTTTACACACTTGGGTTCTTAAAACATTCAAATGCTGACCCAATGCGTGAACATAAACTGAAATGCATTTGCACGAATAGCTTTTCTACACAAAACGGAAACCATGACATGGATTTTTGCGTACGTTATCATAGCTAGGTTGCGTACGTTAGCATAGCTAGGTTCGCACATGCCATTGACGCACACATGGACATCACACAATTTGCATGCCGGTCAACTTCGGATTCGTTTTTTTTTTTTTTGCGTCAGAAGTCTCGAAGGCCCAGTCACCGTTTTACAGTGGGTCGCCTGCTGCATTTCCGGACTACGGCGAAGCTTGAAACTTCTTGGAACAACACCAAATCAAATAGCGCTACTGTGCTGCAGATATCTTTCAACAAACCAGACCGAGGAATACGAGAAACGCGTAGTGACCATACACAAGGCAACAGACCTCCGTTGTCTGAAGCATGCTAAAATAAGGGTCATGTATGTACTAGTGTAGTAATAGACATAGAACATCTCAAGCCGAAATTTTCTCGAGAGGCCTATTTTTGAAGTTGTTTGTTTTTTGTTTACTGCCCTTCTGCTTGTTGCTTCTCGCTTTCTGTTTTTGGCTTTCTGCTTTTCGCTTCTGGCTTTTTGCCTTCTGCTTTAGTGTTCTGCCTGTGGCTTTCTGAATGTTGTTTCTTGCTTCTTGCTTGCTGCTTTTTGTTTTCTCTTTCTTATCTTTCTCGCTTCTTGCTATTTGCTGTCAGCTTCTTGCTTTCTGTCTCTTGCTGCCTGCGATCTCCTGAGTGCTCATTGCTCTCTATTTCAGTTTTCTGGTTCTCGTTGACTGCGTTGAGCTTCCCGATCGCTGCTATCTGCGATTGTCATTTTTTGCTTCTTGTTTCTTTCTTAGTCCCTGCCGTTTTCCATCATGTGTCATAATTCTTCATCATTTCAAGCATTTTCACATTTTTCCATCCTCTTTCAGCATTGGCCATATCTTTTATCATTCTCAATAACTTTCATGACGGTTCATCAATTTCATATTGCTTAATAAGTCTTCTCTTCATTATTTTTCCATGCTCTTCATGGGTTTTCATAGTCCTTCAGTAGTTTCCATAATCTTTCATCACCTTGTCCATGTTGTTTGCAGGATGGGGGGGGGGGGCCCCCCAACCCCACGCCTTTTTGACAACCATCCGTGCTTGCTGTGTAACAAAAAAGCACCATGTCATCACCATGTGCAGTGTCAAAGAAGCGTCGTGTCATCACCATGAGGGATGGCCACGCAGATCATTTTGTTTGGAAAGCGGGGGGCTGCGCCGCCCCCAAGCCCCCCGCCCATGCTTGACCATCTTCGTTATTCTACACATACATCATCTTCCATGATTGTAATCATTGTTCTTCGTTTTTGATGTTGTTTGTATTTTAAACAGTTCTTCATCATATACATCATGTTTCATCATGCTCTATCATTTTCCACATTTTCCATGATCTGAGATCTGCCATATGTGCTTCACAATTTTGATGTTTTGGTCATGGTTTCGCATGTTTGTTCATCATTTTTCATTGTTTTCATGTTTAAAATCATGCTTCATAATTTTCACGATTTTTCATGATTCTTCATGATTTTCCTGATTTTTCACAATTTTCATGATTTCCATGACTTCCCATGATTTCCCATGATTTCTCGTGATTTTCCATGATTTTTCATGATTCTCACACTTCTTGACGATTTTCATAATATTTGATATTTTTTCATCCTTTTTGAGGGTAAAATCGAGCTGTCGCCTGAGACTTTAAAAGAAACAGGAGAAAAAACAAAGATACACAAACTCGAAGCAGCATGTGGCGGAAAGACTCGACGTGAAGCAGCCGCAACTTTCCTTCCCAGCTACTCAGCAGTGACGCCGGGCAAGGTAGGAAAGGCTCCTGGAAGCTTAGCGCCAACGACTTGCTTCATTTCATACACCGCTGCAAGTTGAAGCTATAAACGAATGGCACAGCCTGAGCTTGCGTGAGTCACTCTTACTGGCTGTCGAGTCCGGCGGTTTTTTTGTACACTGCTGCCAGCATACTTGCCTCAAATGATATGGCCAGGGTGAGATAGAGAGAGATCCTTCACTGCAGTGATGCCATGACACGGCCTTTTTTTCCAAGTAGACAACCAAACGCACTGCAAAGGACAGACCCAAAGCAGCACCTGTTGCCTGCCGAGCTGCCAACTGATACTTGGTCATAGTTTGTCGTATGAGCTGGGTTAAAGCTCAACTGTACGCAGACTACCTTAGGGCTGCGGGGTGCAAGCAACGAAAGACAGCAAGGGAGCAATCAGAAATGTGGAGAGCCACGTTTCTGTTTCCTTCCGACTTTGCTCTGGCTCTCGATCAGGACAAATCTGAGTCATGGACAATGGCTCATGTGCCAACCCTAAAGCTGAAGAAGAGTCTGACATGACAATCCCAAGCCTGAGCCCAAATAGTAGAGACGTAGCAGACGGTGCAAGCCCGAGACGTTTAGACATTCTGTGAAACCAAAAGGTGGGATCGTTGTCTTGACACGTCTTCCTCAAAATAAGGTATTTCTAGCAATTTCTATAGTCTAGGGGTATTTGGGCAGCACCTCTAGTATAAGAGGGATTTTTCAGGGAATGCTTTGAGAAGCTATCATAGGTGGGTGATGGGTGTACGAAAGCCTTGCTTTCGGTTGCTGCCTGAGCAGCTAGTTTTTTCTCCTTAAGCAGGAGCTCCTATAGCAGAGGTGCTCGATTCGCCTGATTTGCTGCTTAGGTCCATGATCCCCCTTCCCATTACCACTGTGGAATGGGGGTTCCAGGGAGGCCGTTTAAAACGGTTCAGTTTAGTTCTGGCGGGTCCCCTGGGACCGGACTCGACAGAGGACCCCCCATTTACAGTGATCGCTGTTGATGTGGCATGTGCCCTACGTCCAAACCCCTCAACCTTAGCCCTAA